CGCCAGCACGGGTATGTCGTCTCTCCTCTTGCGACGGCCCACAAGTCCGTCAGCTGCCTCTCGGAGACAACGAGCCAGAGTCGACCACGTCTGGCACCCACTGGTGGATGATGAACTTGGTGTCCTGGCAGCGGCCAACGCGGCGTCCGACTCCTCTCGGAAACGCTGGCGTAGGTCCTCGGCTGCTTCACCTGGTCCTCGAAGGAGGTCGGTGCGAAGCTTGCCCCTAGGACGCAATGAGGAATCGAAACCCGATACCCAATGAGTACGCGTCGCTGTAGGAGCTCCCTCTTGGCGGCGTCGATGCTGCTGTCTGAGCTCTGGTGGGGGGCCGTGAAGCCGACCTGGTAAATTGAGCACGATACTCTTCGCGAAATGGTCTCCGTCGTGGAGTGCATGTGTACATAGCTCCTGGAAACGTGTGAGATATGCTTCTGCCTTATTCGTGAAAAAAATCCGTCCAACTCGTAATAATATTCCATAGTTGGATGATGCCAGGTCGCGCGTCTACGCGCGGGTAATCTGGAGTCAATATGACGCAAATCATTGTCAGCAACAGAGTCGAGGAGATGGCGAGAATGCTTGGTAGTATTCTGCTTCATCTTGAATTTGCCGAAAGATGGGTGACCTGTGTCCATGCCCACGTGGCTGTTCCAATCTCCTCCAAAGATATGTGTAGAACTCTGAGGTAAACTGCTAAAGTATTCAGACATCTGACCCGAAAGGGCGAGTCGTTCATCTGCATGGTTGCCTGGAGGCCAGTATATGGCATGCAGATCGTACCGATGCTGTCGATGGTGAAAATAAAGATGGAGATGACGTTTTCCTGCTCGATGTATCTGAGCAGGTAAAGAAATCAAACGTGATATTCTCGGAGACAAAAGAAAGCCACACCGTCCAGTCCCTATGAGAGTGAACTCCTCGAGGCCATAAAAATGTACATGTTCTGGTAAGCTCATGTCGCTGAGAAAAACTATGTCCCAATGATTCCGTCTCGCTGCCATGATCAATCCCTGCAGCTTTGACCTGGCACTTGGACGGGATGGGGAGTGTTTGGCAATTCCATGTCGCTAGCCTGAGTTGACATGACAAGCGAGACAGGCGGCACGCACGATGAAGCCGACGAGTAAGATGCACTAATTTGGAGTAGGCCGTCGGGGTAACCCGCCACTGGTGTATCCCCTCCGACCGCGGCATGAGGCTGTCTGGGTTCGCATCTGTGATCTGTCGGACTTTGCCGCGGTGATCGAAAGACACGGGTAGCGGAGGTCCACCTCTAAGAGCACTCTGCACCCTGAAACATGATGAATTCTCCAGCGTTGGCCCACCCTCTGTCAATACAATCGTGTAGTCAGTTTTTCTGAGACGAAGATGGTATCCCTTCCATACCTGTAGGAGGTGCTGGTCCAGGAAGAGTGATTGCAGAACCACGTGAACCCAAGTGCTACGCACTCCTCCCCAAGAGCGTGGTTGTCATCCCGAGTCGCGTTGATTGTCCCAGGTCCAGGTGAGGGCCCCAACATGCAAAAACAAACCTAGTAAATCCACCGTCATGTCCGAGCCTTGATTCTCGAAAATGGTTAAGACGAATTGGGAAAGAACAGTCTCGCCGTCAAAGAAGGTTTTGTTGTGAAAGCCGAGTAATGGCCCGGAGAGACTGAAAAAGGAAAGAAATATTGCGCCGCGACCTCTTTCACGATGCGAGGCGGCCTTCGTCCTCCGTCCTCCTGCTCGGCTTCCCCCGACCCGCACATCAAATTACCTAGTGTGGGTAGGGAAGCTATACAATCGGCACCACCACCACCATCGCGAGAAACCAGGGAGGGTTCTCTAGGTGGCGCGCCCCAAACTTCGTTTGGCGATCCGCTCGAGGTATGTCAAATCTTCTCTCGGGGAGGCATCGTAGCACCGACGGCTCCGCGCGCGCACGCCCGCCAGGCCGAAGCACAATCCTGGGGTCCAGGATGGCCCTGGCCAAACATGGTTGCGAGGCGTGGACTTATCCATCACCACCGCTGGGGAGTCGATGTCTGGCGGTGGATTTGGATACGGTTGGCAACCCCAGAGCCCAGTAATATACATATACACAACCTGCCGAGATCCCCGAATGTCGATCTACTGGGCAGTGATGGCGGATCACCCCCCCCCCGCCTAGGAATGGTTGTGTGTGGGATCATTATGCGGAGGGCGGGCCCCCCTCCTGCTCAGAAGGCAACTCCTGGGAAGTCTTCGCAAGAACGACTAAGGGCAGTTGGCCATTCGTCCAGATTCAGCCGGGTTAAATCTCGGGGTTGGGCCAGAGCAAGCCCGATTCAGCGGGGTTCAATTGAATAGAACGGGAGGGTTCCGGATTAGGATAGATTTCAATCACGGGTATGCCAGCGCCGATGCTGAATTAAACCTTTTCAGGGATTGCATCCGAAACAAAACAAACGATACCGCTACTCCCTGGACCTCTCCCCAGGTGTGCACTGACCAGAAAGTCGCCGCGAATCCAGCCGTGGCGACAATGGCCTCCCAGGATCCCCCAAAGGCGAACTCTAGGTAATGGCAGCGGTATCGACACGTTCTGCTCCTCTAACTCTTGCAGGGGGCCACCGTCCTCCGACACAGATGCCCCGACGCCAGGGCACGGACGCCTCCCCTCCCCAGGGCCACCCTCCTCCTCCTCCCCCTCCTCCTTCTCCTCCGTCTCGTCCTCGTCCTCCTCCTCCTCCTCCACATGATCCGCCTCCACCTTACCCTCATCCTCTTTCTCCTCCTTTTCTTTCTTCTCTTCCTCCTCCCCCCCCCTCCTCCCCCTCCTCCTCCTCCTCCCCTCGGCACGGACGCCGCCCCCCCCCCTGGGGCTCGCCGCTGGTCCACCATCGGCCCCCGGCCACCCCAAAGTGCAGGGGGGCACGGCCCGGCCGACCTCACCCGCTTCGTCTGCTCCTCGCGGGCGGCCCCGCCGCGAGGCGAGCGAGCCCGGATGGGTGGGGGGGGCAGCGGCAGGGTGGGACTGGCACGGGGGGGGGGGGGAGAGCGCCGACCTGGAATCGGCGATGCATCGCCGATGGACGGGGGATGCGCCTCGGATGGCGAATCCGCACGGTTTTGGGGCGAGGCGGAGCTTCCGGGCCCCTATCGGCGAGGAGTGGGCCATGGCGGGTCGACGCGCCCTCCCCCCTGAGCTCATCCCCCCCCCCACTATCGTTGCCCCTGAGAGGGAGGGGGGCGAAAATGTGGTTCTGAGCCATGTGAAGATTTCCATGCCTGTTTTGTTTCTGTGCTGTTCTTATCCCTCGACATTGCCCTGCGCAGCGCATGCGGGCGCGGACAGCCACGAGGGCCGAGCGCGCCCGCGCTCCGAAATCTGGCGGCGCATCGGGCGCCATACGGCGGCTCGCGCCGCCGCACCGGGGGCCTGAGCCCAGGACCCCCGGCCAAGAGGAGATACACGGCAGCTCGCACGTTCTCTCTCTCGCCCTCTCTCGCACCCGTTGAGCCTTTGAGCATCATATGCAGATCGCTTTGGATCCCACTTCTGGCATGTAGCTGCGTACACATTCTAGCGCAGGCGGGATGGGCGTTTTTCATGGGCGCTCTGGGCAACTCTTGAGCGTGGGGAGAAGTCGCGGCGGGGCACCGAGGCCCGTTTATGGTTATTCTTCTTGCTTGTCTCCAAAGCTGCGGGACGGCTCTATTCAGCTGAGGCGAACTCCCACCCGGCGCGCCCGCGAGCGCGTTCTCGCCGCAGGTGGTCACGATTCGCCTCCTGCCTGGCCGTCCCGCTGACGGGATGCGTCTTTCCCCGCCCGCCCGACCCTGCTGCGCGAGCACAGTGGTGTCGCGGTGGTTCCTGGGTGCGTCGAGGCTGGGCTGGCCCAGCGCCTGGCGTGGGGGAGGCATCGGCGAGGTTGCTCGGCTCCGCGACGCCGACTCGCGCTCACCCCACCGCCTGGTCTGGGCCTGCGTACGCATTCTAGCGCAGGCGGGATGGGCGTCTTTCAGCAGCAAAGCAATCATTTGTTTCAGAGGCCCCACGCAGGGCCGTGCTAGCAGCACACTGCGACTTGTACGCCAGCGCTGAGTCTAGAGAACACTCACTCTGGGCTGACGGTGCGCTGTGCTAGGCAGCGGACCCGATAGCCCTCAGCCTCTGCAGCCCAAGGTTCTTAAATGGTTCAGGCCTTTGAACGGTTCGACGTCAGAGAAGGGCACACGATCTGCTGGCTGGAAATTTCTCGACAGCTTCTTCTTCGGTGTATTCATTATGCGGCGTTGTGTGTGCATGTGTGTGTGCATGCATGTGTGCATGTGTGTGTTGTATGTTGTGTGTGCGTTTGTGCGCTTGTGTGTATGTGTGTATGTGTGTGCGTCACCCCTACCGCCTGGGGGGGGTGATTGAACGGCTCTGGGGAATGGCTCGAGAGCTCCGGGCGGGCGGCGATTCGATACAATCTACCGTCAAAGGTATGGAGAGGACGAACGGGGTTGAGGGAGGAGGCGCAAGACGAAATTGCGGGTGGGGGAAGATTGATGGCAAGCTATTTGGCACACTGAAAAGCACTGCCAATGTCTGGTGGTTCATTCGGCGCGTTCGATGTCAAAGAGCGCTGGCCTTAAGACTCACATGTGGTCGGAGAAGCCACTCTAATAGAACAGGTAAGCAATGTGCAAACAACGCGCGGGAAAACGCGTAAGCCTCACGTAAGCTTGCTTCGCGACAAAGTAGTGAGACTGATCATCGAACGCGCGTCAAGTCGAGCATGCCCGGATGCATTCTCGAGTCTCGCCTGGGCAAGCGCGCGAGTGCCGAAGGACATCTCCGCGCGCGCGCAGCGGGGCTCTCTCCTCGCTGTCGACGGCTGCTCCGAGGAGGCTCATTGTTGCCTTGCGCGCTGGACAATCCTCCTCCTCATCCTCCTCCTCCTCACACAATGAATCCTGAAGTGCCCACGCAACCTACCAACAGTACAGAGCAGAGGGGGAGACTCTTCATCGCTTCATGCAGCTGCCTACTCACTGTGCGGCGCCAAGAATCTACAGGAGCAACATACTCATTTACACACCACCTGGAGAAGGCATCCGACATAGCATTGCCTGGACATCTCGCTTCCATACCCCACTGTTGTTACCACGAAGAGACTCGGCTCACCCACATCCTGGATGCGGGCAACTTGATGCTGCCATGGCCTCCGAAGCGCAGTTGCCCGCCGAAGCTGGGAATCGAGACCCTCAGGCTTTGCGACCCAGGGCGATCATGGACAGCCTGTCTTGCCAAGATCTGGTAACGCAAGGCTACCATACTGCAGCCACGTTTCCAAACCGCCCGACACTCCTCTCTCGATGTGCGATCTTCTGCTTTGAGGAACCTTCCGACGAAACAATACAATCTTGCTTGAAGCAACGCAGCAGGCTCTCCTCCGCTCGACGACCGCGGCCTTTTTCCACTTCTCCCGCCCTCTTCCTGAAGCCTGACCCGTTCGCCTTCGCGGGCATCTTCGGACGCCTCCGATGTTACCTGCTCGGCTTCAGTCGAAACTTGTGGCTGTCATGACAATGGGCACTCTAACAATCCTATGATTGAATTCGAAATTTGTTTAGAATGTGTAAAACATGTTCTAGAAACGTTTCAAACATGTTTTAACATATTTTGTTAGCAGGAATAGGCCGGTTCGGTTCGGTTCGGTTAGGTTCCGAAGCGCCTCCGGTTCGGTTCGGTTCGGTGTCGTAATCTTCCGGTTCGGTTCGGTTCGGTTCGGTACGATTTTTTCTTTGTTTCCGGTTCGGACTGGTTCCTGTTTCAGTTCGGTCTGGTTCCGGCCAGATCGCCGTCGAGGAGCGGTTCCGACCCTAGCCGATCCGATTTGGGGCGCCCCCGAGGTCCCGAGGGGGGGGTCCCCGCCGAGGAAGAAGGCGACCCAAGAGAGGGAGGGAGGGCCCCAAACCCCAAAGGGGCTCCGGGGCCCCAAACCCAAAAGGGGCCCCGAAGGGGCCTCGAAGGGGCTCCAAACCCCAAAGGGGCCACGAAGTGGCTCCAAACCCCAAAGGGGCCCCACACCCCAAAGGAGCCCCGAAGGGGCTTCAAAGGGAGCCCGAACCCCAAAGGGGGCCAAAAGGAGCCCCAAAGGGGCCCCAAAGGAGCCCCAAAGGGTCTTTGTCGGGGTGGCTTTTTGAAGTTCCCGGAGGGGGGCCGGTTTGTGACGTTCCCGGAGGCCGAAAATAGCGAAAAGCCTCCGGTCGTGATTTTTTCACAGCGCCCGCATCCGGGTGGTTGTCGTCATCGTCGTCGTACCCGCCAGACCTCCTCCTCCTCCGTGGCCAATTTTCCGTTTCGGTCCAGTTCGGTCCGGTCCGGTTCGGCGGGGCGAGGTTCGGCCCGGTTCGGAGTCCGTGTTCGGTTCGGTTCGGTGTCGCAATTTTCCGGTTTGGTTCGGTTCGGTTCCCATTGACGAAAAAACACCGGTTCGCGCCGGTTCGGTTCGGCCAGGTTCGGTTTGGCCGGTTCGGTTCGGTTCCGGAACCATTCATCTTTTAGACATCTGGAAATTATTTGGCAGTATGCTTCCTCTCCATTAATCGACTGCCACAAGTCTAAGCTGCTCCTTACACATTGCGTCGGGACACCTGCACTCGCGCTGAGCACTGCGCCACGCGCGCTCGTCCTCGCGCGAAGCCCTCGCGACGCCCCTTCTGGAGAGAGACAGGAACGCGGTTACCAGAATGCCCCCAATCGACATCTGCTCAAAACCTGTCCAGGGACTCCTCGTGGGATCCATGCTGACCGGTGTTTCGAACCGCGCCTGCGGGATAACGTTAGGGTGGTGGGGAGCGCCTCAGGGGGGGGGGGGGGGGCATCGACCTGGAGTCGGCAATGCATGGCCGATATATCGGCGAGAGGCCCCCGAGAGCGAATGGGCGGGGTGGACTATCGCTCCCACCGGCGATGAATGGGCAACTGAGGGTCGATACTGAGCCGTTCCCCCGCCCCACGTTAGAAGGCGAAAACCCACCCCCATCCCCGGTCCCGACCCCATCGCCGAACCTGCGATTCAAGGAGTCGGGACTGGGGGTGGCGGTGGGTTTTCGAGGTCCAAGAATGGAGAAAACCCACCCCCACCCCCATTGAGCAGGGACCGACCGTCCTGGCATTCCTATAGTCCTACCACGAAGTGTACGAAGTGTTCTGGGAACCCAAATATATTCTAAGAACAAAAACCATGTGCTTAGAGCATAAGCCCGATGTGATAAAACAAGTCAGTCCAAACCAGAAATATTTGAGAACATTTCGTGGAAACCACAAACGGCTCTTAGAACATTGTTTGGTAAGGCTATTGGCGAGCCAGAACGCTTCGCCACTGCTTGACCCCAGTCCCGACCCCTTGAACCGCCGGCTCGGGGATGGGCGTCGGGACTGGGGGTGGGTTTTCACCTCCTGAACGTTGCCCCTGAGCACGCCCGTCCGTGGCGACGAGCCGTGGTGATGAGGGGCCCCCCCGAAGCTCAAGACACTAGGATTGTGGGTGCCACGATAATGGACACCCTGACAGTCCTGACATTGAACTGAAAAAATGTGCTGGCAATATGTAAAACATGTTAAACAACTGTTCAAACATGTATTTTACATCATTAAAACATAATTGAAACATGTTTTGGACATCTGGAAATTGCTTGGCAGCCTGCCTCCATTAATCGACTTCCACAGGTAAAGAGACCAGGAGGGCTTTCACGGGCCGCGAAACGCGAGGCGAGGGGCCTCCGCCACCCCCACAGCGGATAACCTGCTGCCGTCGGGCCACGGAGCCGCTGGAGCCTGGCGCGCTCGCCATCGCTCGGACGTCCGTTCCCCGTGCATTTTTCGGCTCCGCGCGTGTATATTTCGCAAGATGATCCAGGATGCTCCTCGATGATCCTCGCCGAGAAAATCATGCACACGTCCGAGCGATGCCAAGCGCGGGAGGATGTCTTCAGTCGGGAGCGTTTGCTCACGACCATCGTGCCACCAGGAGAGAAACAAAAACGGCTTCTCACATCGCGGCGAGTGTCGGCCACCCACGGAAAAGGTTCCCTGACCTAGATCGAAGGAGCGGCCCGCATTCAAGAGCCCCATCCAGGGCCATGTGGCCCCCATCCATCTTAATGACCACATCCCAGACATGTTGCCGAGCACCCAGAACAATATCGAAACAATGCCTGCCCGACATGCTAGCGAAGAATCGAACGGATATCGCCTCCCAGGGCCCGACACTTGAGAACCCCCCCGTTTCGGTACGTTCTTGGTGCCCGAACTTCTTCCTGGTGGTCAAGGCTAACATAGATTGGGACATCATAACTCCAGAGCCCCTCTCAGGAACGGCCCGGAACCAAAATTCCTACAGTCGGGAACGTTTGCTTAGCGTGTCGCGCCGCCAATTTGGCCCAACCCGCTCCGCGCGACACGCTAACCGCGTCCTATTCCCCGAACACTCCCTGGATGTAGTCCAGTGATGTCCAGCCTTCGCTGCGGCGACTGCCACCTAATATGCGAGCGGCGAGCGAGCTGAAGCCCGAAACTTCTGCAGTGCTAGGCTGGCCAGGCATAGCCCACCGCTCCTATCACCCACGCAGACAGGACCCTGGCGCACGGAGCTCCCCGAGAACGCCCAGAGCGAACAACCCCAAAAGACCATCCGATACACGCGACCGAACACACGATCCATACCCCTTCTCCGATCCGTGCAGACGTCGGCACGTGACCAAAGGAAGAAGACCCCGCGGCTCTCGCCCCATGGCGCGTGCAAGTGGCGCGCGGCAGCGCCGCCGAGCGCGCCCCGCGCGGTCTTTTCGGGGCGCGGCGCGGCACGTGGAAAAAGCAGCTCCCCCGGGCCCGCGAGCGCGGGCGAGCCGTCGCCCGGCAGCAGAAGGCGCCCTCCACGTCCGCTGGTCAGGCCGTCGGGCACGCCGGCACGGGCTGGCCGTGGGCTTGGCGTGGCGCGTGCCGTCCAGTGATTATCTGCGAGGCGGGGATTTGTCCATATCCACCGCCTGGGCACCGACGTCCTGGTGCCCCGGCGGGCGGTGGTTCTGGATACATTTCGGCCCCCGGGGGCCCGAAGATGTCCAGGTCCACCGTCTGCCGAGGCTCCGAAAACGGACCCTCCCTGCGGTGGATATGGATAACTTCCCGCCTCGGATTATGTGGCCGAGCCCGGTGACAGCGCGCAGCGCCACCACCACAAGGACCACAGTCCTTTCCGCAAGCGTCACGGGCGAATGCATCAGCTAGTGCCGCTTATCACTGGGTGGTGCAATCGGCCTGGTAAGCGCAGCCCTGGAACCTTCGTCGGCAGAGCTCGCATGACGCTTTGCATCAACCATCAGGAGGCCTTCGTCCAGGATCCACACTGCATGCCGTGGGTATTTTCAGTCCTGCGCCGACCCTCCAAACATCAGAATTCCCCAGATGAGAAGGCACTGACCAAACGTTCTCTAACCAATGTCATTGCCGCGTGCATGAGAGCAACAAATAATCACAAACATGCAAAACAAACAATCAAACACGATCTGACCCACTGCTACCCACAGATCCACACTGGGTCGTTCCTGGAACGCCCCTGGGATAACATTTCCGATGCGCCGACGCTGCTGGATGCAAACCTTCTCGATGCATCGGGCCTCAACCGAGCTCCAATGACATTGCGCGATTAACAAGTGTCCTCCGCCCCGACCGGAGGTGGGGTGGGAGAGCATCATCAAGGATCCCTCTGGGACCACCAAGTAACCGTAGTGATGTTTCAACTCGCTGCCTGCGGCTAACTACTCGAGCAAACGGAAAACTGCTGCATGTAGCATGTTCGGCGAATGGGCAACATGACAACAACGACGACGATTGAATACCGCGTTGCCCGAGAAGCATGCAGACTGATAACCAATGTTTCTGCTAAGGCTGAACCAACTTTGCGAATCAGACCTCGTGCATGCGCAGACGATGAAGCAACGCCACTGCCATTGAGTATTGCTGAACAATGGGTGGAAACGACGACAAGCCCTGGAGCAGATATTACATCCCGAACAACTTCTGCTGACGGTCCCGCGGCCAACGCATAAATTGTACGAAATAAGTTGCACACCATGAGTTGCAATCGATTGGTTGCACTCCGTGGATGCACCCCAGTTGCACCCAGTGGGAGTCACGAAACTGCATCTCAGACGTGCCAGATTTCATTGCACGCCGTAAATTTGACCTCATCGGTTGCGCCCCTCATATTGCACCACAACCGTTGCGTCTCTTTTATGATGTACTCTATGCATTGCGCCCGAATCGCCTGGGAAACATCTCCAAGGTTGCCCGTTCAACGGTCTTTCCGAGCCCGTGGCTGACTTGCCGCAAATGTAAAGAAATTCGAGCGCGTCCTGTGAAGCTCGCGCTCGTAGAAGAGCAGAGGTGCCAGAACGAGTGCAGTGGGAACGAAGTAAAATAGCCTGGGCAGACATCGAGCCCAGCAGGTCGGCCCAAGACGGCGCGATAAGCGAACGACAACAGGTGTCACTGAGAAGTCCATGGGGAAGGCACGACAATGCTCAGACAGGAGCATTCAAATGGAGACGAGAACGGAATGCCAGAGAGACCGGATGGAACTACATTGCACGACGAGCAGGGACTTCAACCGAGCGGGGGGGGGGGTAACCCACACACCTCTTTAGACTGGGTGCTGCGGGAGACGATGACTGATGGGAACAGGGAAGGCGACGATCTCTCGTGACGTAAGTGGACGACGATGCGTAGACGAGATCGTACCGAGGGGGCGAAGGCTGGTGGCGAGAGGCGCGCGACGGCCTCGCGACAGATTGGGAGCAGGGAGGCGGCGGCAGTGAGACTTCAACCCTGCAGAGACGCCGCTGGCAACGAGGCTGCTGCCGAGGGGCACCGCTGGGGCCCCGACGCTGGCCGAGCTCGGGAGCAGCACACCGCCGGGTCAGGACATCGTGGAGCAGCTGTGCCAGCTGTCCGTTCTGTTGCCCGGGTGCTGGACCTGCCCGGGCCTGCGGGCCACGGCCCCCGACCCAGGACCGATGGGGAGAACCAAGCCCGCAACGGTCGCCCCCGAGCCGCCTTCGCGCTGCCAGGGTGAAAGGGCGCGCGCAAGGTCACGGCGACGTGCAGACGGGAAGGGGAGGATATTGGAGGCCTGGGAATGGCCACCAACACCAACACAAGGGGTTGCCTCCACCGGGGGGAGATGATCCGAGATTTCGGTGTTGGTGGTAATATTTCAGCCGCCTTGGAAGCCAGAATATTACCACCATCACCGAGATCGAGATCCTCTTCCCTCGGTGGAGGCACACCGCCGATATTGGTGTTGGTGTCAACCTCTAGGCCTGCGAGGATAGGCGGCGACATCCGAACTCTACCCCCACCAGCCATCGACTCTGGGGAATGCATGGGGGGCGGGGGTGGGGTTCGGATTTCGCGACGTGTTCGGCGAATTCCGAACCCTACCCCCGCCGCCCGTCGAATTGCCTGAATCGTGGATTGCTGAGGGTAAACTCGGATTCCGCCGCCGAGAGGCGAAGGGCCGTGACTCACTACATGTTTTTAGCACATAGTTTATCATGCTGGCCGCCTGCGTGCCTGAGCCTTCGGAGCAAGAAGTCGTGGGCTGGAGCCAGTGCACGATGCTCCGCGCGCACCTCATACAAGCACAGCGCGTCGGGGCCGATACACTGCTCGCCAACGGGCAGCTCGAGGCAGTCAGGGTACGCACTCGCACAAGACCGCGACGAGATCTGGGCAGGCGAGCGCATTCGGTGCTCAGACCTGGCACGCTCGGCTGCTTCGGGGCCTCACGCGCAGCGGCCTCGACTGGTGAGGCATCTCCCCCGAAGAGCCCAGCGCCAAGGCATGGCAACCCGCACGACCGCTATCCCTCTACAGACTCGGCATCCGAGGGACTACTATATGAGAGGGAGAGTCAGGATGTACCCAGCTTAGGGGGGGCAGAAATATCGACCTGGAATCGGCGATACATCGCCGATATGTCGGCGATAGGCCCTCGACAGCGAATCCGCACGGTCCTGGGCGGCGTGGGCTATTGAGCTCCAATCGGCGATGAATGGGCGATTTGGGCTCGATGCGTCCTATCCTGAGCCTCTCCCCCCTAACGTTACCTCTGACTATCATCCCCAACCTCTGCGGCTCGACTGATTCGGTGCGGCCTCATCCCGAACCTCTGTCATCCGACTGCGGATCCGACAGAGACTTGTCGCATAAGCCAGAACCTGGAACCGTTGGTAACACTGATAGGAGTCGCTGTCCCGCACGGCCCATGCGTCCTCCATGCGAGGCGAGGATCTATCCATGACCACCACCTGGGAGATCCAGGTGAATGCGTGCTGCCCCCCCTGGGGCCAGAACATGCCAATGTCTACCTCCTGCCGAGGTCCCCGACAGTCGATCCCCCACGCGGTGGTTATGTAGGAATCCCTAGCTCGGACCCCAGCCCAGCCCGTCAAGCCACCGCCCCTGCCCTGACCTACACCTGGCCGCGCTCTCCCCTCTGGGCCGTCGGCAGGGAGGCAAGAGGCGATGCTCAGCTACAGGGCCTCTTTGCCCGCGGGAAGGGGCAGGTAACTAGGAGGGAACTACTGGGAGGTTTTGGTCGGAAAGATTCAGGAGGACTAAGCACCATTTGGGACTCAAGGAGGATTAAGCCCCATCTGGGAGGGCAACATCAGAATTTGACCTCCCAGGAGTTGCATCCGAACAAAAGGGACGGTGAGAAGAAGAGAAAGAGAGAGAGAGAGAGCCTTTGCCCCGAAAAACCGATCGAAGGATGGAGACGAAGATCTGAGGACGACACCGGGCACGGCAGGGGAAACACCATACAATTACCCTGCGACGTACCAAACCCTTTCTACACATGTGGCGATTAAAGTCAGCACCGCTCAATGCAAACCCCCACAAGGGGCGGCGAGGTCACGAGGTGGTCCGCGTGGGACGTACCTCCGCTGGGCCTCCCAGGAGCCCACGAACGCGCCAACAGTTTCGCAGATCGCAAGCCCCCCAGGGGGCGGCGAGGTCTCGAGGTTGTCCGCGTGGGACGTACCTCCGCTGGGCCTCCCAGGAGCCCACAAATGTGCCGACAGCTTCGCAAATCGCAAGCCCCCCAGGAGGTGGCGAGGTCCCGAGGCGGTCCGCGTGGGACGTACCTCCGCTGGGCCTCCCAGGAACCCACGAATGTGCCGAGTTTCGCAGATCGCAAGCACCCCAAGGGGCGGCGAGGTCTCGAGGTGGCCCGCGTGGGACGTTCCTCCGTTGGGCCTCCCAGGAGCCCACGAATGTGCCGAGTTTCGCAGATCGCAAGCCCCACAGAGGGCGGCGGGTCCCGAGGTGGTCCGCGTGGGACGTACCTCCGCTGGGCCTCCCAGGAGCCCACAAATGTGCCGACGGTTTCGCAGATCGCAAGCCCCCCAAGGAGCGGCGAGGTCTCGAGGCGGTCCGCGTGGGACGTGCCTCCGCTGGGCCCCCCAGGAGCCCATGAATGTGCCGACTGTTTCGCAGATCGCAAGCACCCCAAGGGGCGGCGAGGTCTCGAGGTGGTCCGCGTGGGACGTACCTCCGTTGGGCCTCCCAGGAGCCCACGAATGTGCCGAGTTTCGCAGATCGCAAGCCCCCCAGAGCGCGGCGGGTCCCGAGGTGGTCCGCGTGGGACGTACCTCCGCTGGGCCTCCCAGGAGACCACAAATGTGCCGACAGCTTCGCAGACCGCAAGCCCCCCAAGGGGCGGGGCATCGAGGCGGCCCGCGTGGGACGTACCTCCGCCGGGCCTCCCAGGAGCCCACAAATGTGCCGACAGTTTCGCAGATCGCAAGCCCCCCAGGGGGCGGCGAGGTCTCGAGGCGGTCCGCGTGGGACGTTCCTCCGCTGGGCCTCCCAGGTGCTCACGAAAGTGCCCACAGCTTCGCAAATCGCAAGCCCCCCAAGGGGCGGCGAGGTCCCGAGGTTGTCCGCGTGGGACGCACCTCCGCTGGGCCTCCCAGGAGCCCACGAAAGTGCCGACAGCTTCGCAGATCGCAAGCCCCCCAGGGGGCGGCGAGGTCTCGAGGTGGTCCGCGTATGACGCACCTGCACTGGGTCTCCCAGGAACCCACAAATGTGCCGACAGCTTCGCAGATCGCAAGCCCCCCAGGGGGCGGCGAGGTCTCGAGGTGGCCCGCGTGGGACGTACCTCTGCCAGGCATCCCAGGAGCCCGCGAACGTGCCGACAGCTTCGCAGATCGCAAGCACCCCAGGGGGCGGCGAGGTCTCGAGGCGGTCCGCGCATGACGCACCTCCACTGGGTCTCCCAGGAGCCAACGAAAGTGCCGACAGTTTCGCAGATCGCAAGCCCCCCAAAGGGCGGCGAGGTCCCGAGGTGGTCCGCGTGGGACGCGCCTCCGCTGGGCCTCCCAGGAGCCCACAAATGTGCCGACTGTTTCGCAGACCGCAAGCCCCCCAGGGGGCGGCGAGGTCCCGAGGCGGTCCGCGTGGGACGTACCTTCGCTGGGCCTCCCATGAGCCCACGAATGTGCCGACAGTTTCGCAGATCGCAAGCCCCCCAAGTGGGCGGCGAGGTCTCGAGGTGGCCTGCGTGGGGCGCACCTCCGCTGGGCCTCCCAGGAGCCCACGAAAGTGCCGAGAGTTTCGCAGATCGCAAGCCCCGCAGGGGGCGGCGAGGTCCCGAGGTGGTCCGCGTGGGACGCACCTCCGCTCGGCCTCCCAGAAGCCCGCGAATGCGCCGTCAGTTTCGCAGATCGCAGCCCCCCAAGGGGCGGCGAGGTCCCGAGGTGGTCCGCGTGGGACGCACCTCCGCTGGGCCTCCCAGGAGCCCGCGAAAGCGCCGACAGTTTCGCAGATCGCAAGCCCCCCAGGGGGCGGCGAGATCTCGAGGTGGTCCGCGTGGGACGCACCTCCACTGGGTCTCCCAGGAGTCCACGAAAGTGCCGACAGCTTCGCAGATCGCAAGCCCCCCAGGGGGCGGCGAGGTCCCGAGGTGGTCCGCGTGGGACGCGCCTCCGTTGGGCCTCCCAAGAGCCCACGAATGCTCCGACAGCTTCGCAGATCGCAAGCCCCCCAGGGGGGCGGCGAGGTCCCGAGGTGGTCCGCGTGGGGCGCACCTCCGCTGGGCCCCCCAGGAACCCACGAATGCGCCGACAGTTTCGCAGACCGCAAGCCCCCCAAAGGGCGGCGAGGTCCCGAGGTGGTCCGCGTATGACGTGCCTCCGCTGGGCCTCCCAGGAGCCAACGAAAGCGCCGACAGCTTCGCAGATCGCAAGCCCCCAAGGGGGCGCTGAGGTCTCGAGGTGGCCCGCGTGGGACGCACCTCTGCTGGGCCCCCCAGGAGCCCACGAAAGTGCCGACAATTTCGCGGATCGCAAGCCCCCGAGGGGGCGGCAAGGTCTCGAGGTGGCCCGCGTGGGACGCACCCCCGCCGGGCCCCCCA